CCCCAAGAACACAACGGGAGGAGCTGCTGTGGCATGGCTCTCTCTTTGCAATTTATAAGCTTGGATTTGACAACTCTGTTGGAATCACAGAAAATATGCTAAATTATTATAATGGCCCTATCACCATTTAATCCGTTCTGTCCAACAGCAAAGTTGGATTTCATAAATCAGAAGCAAGAAGCTAAACTGTTTCAACTAAATACTTCTTTCCCTTTGATGAAAGCACTGGCAGATTCATAAGCCTCCTCTGTTGATCTGACAATGAAAGAGAAGCAGTCCTAGCTATATTTTTTTCTGACTGAATTTGCATTGCCAGGATCTCAGGAACTTCTTAAGAGATTCTCCTAAATAATATGGCGACTTGGTGATTAAGCCATAGAATTATAATTTTCTCTCTCACTGCCTCAGATTTCATATCCGCATCAACAGAGCCGGGATTACAGCTCGTGCTCAGGATGTGGTACCAGACAGCTGACAGTGTTTTTTCTTGGAAAGATCAGATTTTTGTACCAAGGGATTTCTCTGGGGCCTGCAGCACTGTCCGTGGGAGAGCACAACAAGCTTGCCATAACAGTGTGCAGCAAACACACACAGATTCCTAACAGTCCCTTCTTATCACTCGGGTATCCCATTGTTCGAAGAAGGTTAAGATTAGAAATTTGGAGCTTTGACCGTAAGGGAGGAAGGAAAACAAAATAGCCTCAAACTCAGACAAATTCTTGGTGTCAAAAGAATGATGGCAGAAAACAAGGAGGCTCCTTCTTTCTGCAACAGCCCTTCTTTTCATCCATTTAAGGAGAACGGGCAGAAGCTCAGGCTGGTCAATTCTGGCTCACGCACCCCACAGTGACATTGCACAGGCAGTGTCCTCGGCGTAGCTAAGATCCCCTGGGCAGCATTTGTTTGCTGCCCATGGAGAACAGAGTCGCAGGTAGGGTCCATCCTCAGACACTGCTCCTGCAAGCTGCCACCGCACCATTTCCACTTGGCTCCACAGACACTGCCGTACAGCAGCCGGACAGTGCCTGTTGCAGGGGAAGGGGGTCAAAAAAATATCTGAAAGCTTCTGCATATGGCATTTGTCAGAAATGCCACTTTTTTTTCAACCATTTTTTGAGCAGCACCTGAAAAACGAATCAGAAAGTGAACACGTTGCAACATGCATTTCATCTCAAGGACTATTTTATATATATTTCTTTAAGTATCTTTCTGGCTTGCAAATAACTCTTTAGAGCTGACTATACACCTATGTACACCTGCACAGACATGTCTGCGCCTGTTTCTGCAGCCCCCCCCCAAATAAAATACCCATTCACTTGAACGCGAACTCTTTTCAGATAAATGTGGCAAGATTTGGCCTTTGGTGCATACGTGCGAGTATCCTCCACACACATTTTAAAATAATTAAAAAAATATAGTAGCTATAGATTTATAACCGATCAAAATCTAAACACAGTAAAACTGCACTTATTACAGTATAGCCTAAGTGAATTTACACTGCTCATTAATATCAAGCAAACAAAGCAAAGGAAGTGTATGTGACCCTGTAATTAGAAGTCAACTGTAATTACACTTTTGCTTATCCTTTTGCCTGTCCTAAAAGTCCAAAAGGATTTTTGCAACTAAAAAGAGGGATTTGCACCGTTTCTTTCCAACATATGGATGTTTCTCAAGTGCCTTCCCATCTTCTTTGAGTATCTTTCACAACATACCAGATTCCTTTTGGTTGCTCTTGTTCACTTCTACCACCACAGTAAAGAAGAATCCCCTACCGAAGAAGGTAACCTTAGCAAAGCAGCAGCAGCAAAGCAATACTGAAGTCACTGCTAGTCCCATACTCAGGCAGAATGAGGAGTAGGAGCTCCAGGTACCAGCTTCAGCGTCATTCCCATTATCATAAAGCTTAATGCACAGCAAGACAGCCAACCCATGGAGTCACGCCGCTCTCTAAATAGCACTTGTCATTACAGCACTTCATCATCAAAGCCCTTTGCACATAAATTTACAAAACACAGCAAAGACAACGATCTCTTTTGCATATTAAATCAGGGAAACTATATCATCTACAAGGTAATTCTTGGCGTGCTGCACATTTCACAGCTCGCCAATATGAGGTGCTGCTCACTAACACACAGTGTACCTCGAAGACCAAAAGCACAATAGCACAAATACATAAAGCTTAAGCACAGGTCCTTCACCTACCCCTGGCTGGTATTTCCCAAGTGAGCTCTGACAACTTTATCAAGGATATGGATTGCTTTTAAAGTAATCAGACCTCTGGAGTCTAGTGTAAAGTTAAGGAAATACACTCTCACATCCCATCCAGGCCACTGCTGGTCAGTAGGGACTTCCGAAATGGTGACCATCGTGCTTCACTGCCTTCTTGATCATTTTATGCGTAGTGTGAGCAACTTCCACAGCTATCAGCATAGCACAGAGGCTTTTAAAAGAAGCTCTGTGCACTCATGCATTACAAAATCAAAATCCAAGTCGAGATTTGTATTTAACCCCCCATCCAAAAAAAAAACAACCAATCCACCCTCTCTCTCATATAGAACTAGCTCTTTAAAATTCAAATCCTTGATCAAAGATTGTTTCATCTCAGTAAGACAAGACAAGGCACTGGACAACAGGCCAAGTGCTTCAGACTAAGATATGAGGAAATTCTGTTAATTTAACTATGCCACCACAGCTGAAACAGCAAACCTCGCCCTCCTGTGTACCCAGTCGTACTAGTACGAAAGGGAATATACCAGCAGCCAGCTACACCATGGCTCAGCAGCCAAAATAAACTCCAGCAATATGTGGCATCTTTTCTGCACCAGGATTTTGCCAATTTAACTGTATCAGGTGAAAAATTAAGCTTGGCATAACAGACAGGGTTACATTGGTAAGTTTTTTAAGAATACACCAGCCCTTTTACTATCCTAATAACATTCTCAACATTCAAAAATATCACGTTAAGACATCTGCCATCTTCAGATCCACAATTTTAAAATAAGCATTGTAATCCAAGCCACAAAGTATCTTCACTGTATGTTAATTTCATTTCCTGACAGTACTTATCACAGATACCTGAAAGTATTTAACTTGACCTGCACAACAGTGAATCGACATTCAGATTCAGATCTGACAGACATTCAGATGCTCTCACAAAGTCTTTCATAAAAATCAAAGAGGAAATGCTTTTTTTCTACCTTATTCTGTGATATTTAGACCAAAAAAATCAACTCAGAAAATATAACCACAGAAATTTCCTTGCTATTCAGCCCGAGAAAATCCCGCAGAAGAGTGAAGAAGCATGTTTCTTCAGCAAGGACTCTGACCTGAAGCTGAGATAGTCACTGTAGAAGGAAGCACACACATTGCACATGCGTTAGCTCCAAGGAAAGCATTACAGACAATAAGAAAAAAAACGTGATCAGCAGAGGAGACCAGAATTGTGAGACACAAGAAGGAATAAAGTAACTCTAAAACGATTGCACACCATGACTAACAGAGTTACCTGCTGCTGTGAATGGGAGTTTAACATTCTCTTTTATCCTGGCTGAAAAAAATCCATAAAGTGATCATGTTTATTCCTATCACATCTATTTGCTATTTTTCACCAATAATTTGTGACATTACAGAACAAAGACCTCAAGTTATACACATCCCCTTAAAACTATAATGCTGAAGAGTATTTTTAAGAAAAACAAATGCCAGACGACAGTGCTTTCAATGAGGTCTGGCAATGCCCCAAGGTACTTGACTCAGAAACCTATGTAAAGTCTACGGTAAAATTCTCCATCACTGATTCTCCTCAAAAGTTTGGTGCTTTTCTTCATAGTGAAATGGCAACTATATTAATGTGCTCTGTTTATCCCTAAACCTAGTGGAAATGTACTTCGTATCTGACTTGCTTTCCAGGGCAATGTATACCCTGGGGCAGAGGAGTTTTGCTTCTCCTGTACTGTTACGGACCCAACTCTGCTAGCAGGAAAGATGCTGGTATCCTAGATCCTATGGGATGCAATGCCTTGAGGACATTTATATCAAATAATTATTGCATAATCTCAGGGTGTAATAAAACCTCCTTCACCATACAGAGACATTGAGTGCCTGTTACACTTTTGCCTCAGAGGAAGAAGTGTCCCTGTCAACAGCAGCTACAGGTTCCTGTATGAACCCGCAGGATCCCCTTGCTGTGCATGTGGAGGAAGTTGAAGATTTCTGAGGGCATAGCATGAAAACCAGGCCGAGGTTTCACATTGTCATAGTAGTGGTGAGTTATAAAAATCCCTGAGGGGTTCATGGGGAAGGCCCAAAAGCCAAAAAGGTGGACCTCTTCACAGAGCTCCAGGGCAGCAGTCACCAGGATCAGCCCCGTGCTAATCCGCTTGGCCCTCACCCCTTGGCCGAGCCAGTAGCGTGAGACATTGATGAGATACTGGGGGTGAAAGTAATAAACAGCTTGCTGAGATTCAAAATCATCCAGGACATATTTGACCCGGATTGAAACGTCCGTGTTGCGAGTGTTGTAGAAAGCTGGCAGCAGCACGGAAGCGTTCTCGTAGACCTGGAGCACGTCGTAGAAGGGTTTCCTCCATTTCTCCAGCTTATGGAATCTACAGGGAAAAGAATGTGAGTGATGGTCAGACCAGCGCAGACTCAGTCTGGACCCAGTAGACAAGAAACTTCCAATGGGCTTTTACTGAAACATTTCTGATATATGGATAATTGAAATGATGTTTCAATTAACAAGGAGAATATATTTAGAGTTGTAGCT